CAAAAATCTCATTTGGTACAGAGCATACCAAAAATCTTCAAGTGAGAAGTGAGAAAAGAAAGAGAACTCAGAGAGCTTAAAAAGAAAATATTCTGAAAGTTCTTAAATAGAGCAAAACAGAGCAAAAATATCAAGTGTTTTACTTGATATATTCAAAGAGAGAAAACACTCAGAGCGTTCAAGAGAAATCATTCCAGAGTGTTTATCTTCATCAAAGAGACCTGCTCATCATTGAAGATCATCTACAGAGTCTCAGAAGTTGGAAGCAAGACAACACTTGTTTTGGAGCAAAACAAGAGAAGGGAGGAAAGTAGCACGAAGCTGTGAAATCCTGGATTGTCACACGGAGTTGTGAGATCCGAAGCAGCAGTGTCGGAGGCACTGGGCGTGATTAGTGCGGGCTTTGTGATCAAAGCACTAGATCACGGGATACGTTTCTACCGGAGTGTGGAAGACGGGAGGAAAGTAACGCGGAGTCGTGAAATCCTGGGATAGTAGCGCGGCGACGTGAAACCCGAAGCAGCAGTGTGGTGTCACTGGGCGTGATTAGTGTGGGCTTTGTGATCAAAGCACTAGATCACGGAAATTCATTGTATCTTGGAACCAAGGAGTGGTAGATATAGTGAATTACTCTTGGAGAAAAGAGCAAGTGGAGTAGGAGGATTATACCACCTCGCGAACCACCATAATTGTCTTGTGTTCTTTACTGCTTTCTTTACTTACTGCTCTTTACGTATTTGCTCTACACGAGATATACTGCTCACACAATCTCACACACACTTTATGTTTATTTATTTCAGCTGTGCACCATACTCTAACAATCTTGTTAAGAGTTTTGGTTTATCTCTGGCTTAGCAATTGTTGTGCTGTGCGAAAAAGTTTGAAAGTCTATTCACCCCCCTCCCCCCCCCCTCTAGACTTTCACCTTACCTCTTTTGGGACCAACAAGGTAGTTCAATTCCAATGTGTGGAGGGGCATCTTCTTGTCTCTCCCTGCCATTCAACAGGGCTTAAGCAAAGGTTCACAATTAAAAGTGGTAAAAGTACTAGATAGATTCTGGGAGGATTCTTAGCTTGGATCCAAAACAAACTTCTTAGGGATTATATAACTGAGCAGAATCACTACAGCCTTTATGAGGGAAGATAGCGTAACAGGAGGCAGTAACACGGATAAGGTGCTTCGTGTTTGTTGGAAACATTCGGTCGACCACCACTTTACCATGAACGTTAGTTGATGGCTGTGTTAAGAGGTCTACAAACAAAACAGGTTATGGAGGTATCATAAGAGATAAGGATGGCAGATGGGTTGATGGATTCTCGGCGAAGGTCGAGACGGTCTCACTAGAGATCACTAAAGCAAGAGCTATGGTCAAGAGTATGCAATGGGCTTGGGAGAAGGGTATTCGTGATGTGGAGCTCCAATTGGATGCGAAATATGTTGTTAAGTGGATCCATGAAGAGACAGTGTTGTGTGGTCTGGTGAGGGATTGTATTGAGGACAAGGAGGGGAGGATTGCTATCTGTGTGATTTATCGAGAACAGAATAAAGTTGCTGACGCTCTTGCAACTATGGGTACCAGGCATCATGCTGATTGGAGGTCTTTTAGTACTAGCTCGCTGGGCAGCGAAGAAACCTACCTGAATGATTTGGCTCGTGTCACTTGTGCTCATCGAGTCAGGGGAGATACAAATCTGTTTGTGTCCTCCCTCGGGTTTTTACCCTTCCCCTTGATCCAAAAAAATAATAATAATAATAATAATAATTTTATAAATGTATAAATAATATACAGTTTAACAATTAATCAATTATACAAATATTTAATACATTTAAAATTTTATAATTATAATTAAATGATAAAAAAATATAAATTATAATTTATAAACATATTAATATTTTAAAAATTATTAATTTAAATATTTTAATAAATTAAAGTGCACTAGAACGCACCAACATTTTAAAAAATGTGAGTTGGGCCGTGTCGGTCCACATTCCAATGTGGGCTAATCAATAATTGTTTACATTAGTGCGGCAAATTATACCGTGCACCAGGGTAATTTATATCGTGCACGATGGCGCACATAGCAATATGCGTCCAGGTACAAAACGCGCGCGTTTCTTGTTGACGTTATTCTGTTTGTCCGAACAGACCAAACCCTATTATGTGTATTCAGTTAAAAGTTTATGTGTATCGTGTTATGAGTTTATGTGTATTAAGTTAAGAGTTTATGTGTATTATGTTAACCAAACCACATTATGTGTATTCAGTTAAAAGTATATGTGTATTGTGTTATGAGTTTATGTGTATTCAGTTAAGAGTGTATGTGTATTATGTTAACCAAACCACATTATGTGTATTCAGTTAAAAGTGTATGTGTATTATGTATTATGTTAGATTATGTGTATTCTGTTATGAGTTTAATTGCATTCGAAACAGATGACTTTTTTTAACAACTTAGCAAAAGGACGTCGTTTTGGGAGGCGCAGGGTTCACAGTGCTATGTGCGCCGTGGTGCACGGTATAACGATTGGTGCACTAGGGCGCACAATGCGGCATAGCCCAAAACGAAGTCGTTTTGTACCTTTTCGCATGTGTGCTGTTAACTCTTTAAAAAAAATCATGTTTCGAATGTACAGAATTATATAATAGAATGTACAAAATTTTATACCTGAAAACACAGAATTTTATACCTAGAAACACGAAATTTTATAACTGAAAATTCTCATGTTTAGAATGTACAGAATTATATAATAAAATGCACAAAATTTTATATCTGAAATAAACAAAATAATGCCGTTTTGGGAGGCCTAAGGCGTACCCAGTGCACGGTATAACGATTGCATTAGTGCCAATCGATGTGGGCTTGGGCCGGGTCAGCATGGCTCAACCCATATGACATTGCTAATTGCAATGAAGAAATTAAGGGATAAAATTTGTAATTTTATGGATGATGAATGAATAATTTAATAATAAAGTAGGAATTTAAGTTTGGTTGTTAGAAAAAAGAATTATAAGAATATTACAATCTAATGTTAATTTACAAAATTGAAACAAAATAAATAGTATAAAGACCAAAATGTTTAAGAAATTACAATTTGTAGGGGAGGAGGTAGGATTATTTGGATGGGATAAAATAATTTGGTCCTCACGTACAACCCGACTTTTTTTCCTACATACATATCATTGAATTTCAATTCTTAGAGAGGTAAGCTTTGCATTAAGTATAGGAATAACAATTCTTCCTTTCGTGTTTTGAAATTAAGGTTGCGCTTGGAATTAAGGGTGCGCTTTGAAATTAAAGGAATTGTAAAATTTTTCATTTTTTGAAATTAAAGGTGCGCTTGAAAAGTTGAAAAATGATGTCTGGAAATCATTTTTTGAGTTTTCAATGTTTGGCTAGAGGAAAAAATGAAAGTCAATGAAAAATATGAGTGTGATCAATGGAAAAATAGAGGGAATTTTTCGAAAAATGACTTCACTACCTTTTTTTTTTTTTTTTAAGTTATTTTTCGTTTGCAGTAGTGGAGCAACCAATCACCCGCAGCCGCCGCCGCCACCACCGCCACCACTACGTACCACCACAACTACCATCACCCCCACCCACCAACATATTTTAAATATTTAAAATTAAAAATAATTATGCTAATTTTTCAAAAAATGAACCAATATTTTCTAGAATGCAACCAAACACTAAAAGGGAAAATGTTATCTGAAAAAATGACCCATTTTTCAGAAATCATTTTTCTGTTGTCCAAAAACACCCTAAATGAAAAAGGAATTGCCATTCCACTCTACCAAATTTTCTATTAAGGCTCCATTTGGAAAGCAGGAAAATGACATCTGAAAAATATTCTTTCTGAAAAATGAGCCATTTTTCAGAAAACATTTTCCTTTCTGGTGTTTGGTTACACAACGGAAAACTGTCTTTGTGTGTTTGGTTCATTTTTTCCAGAAAAATGAGTAGAAAAATGAAAAGAATTAAATACTTCAAAATTTTAATTGTTTGATACTTTTGATAAAATCCTTTTATGAATAGCACTCTTTTGATATATATATATATATATATATATATATATATATATATATATATATATATATATATATATATATATATATATATATATATATATATATATATATATATATATATATATATATAAAACATTTTAAAAAATGTAATTTTTTAAATTTGTAAATACAAAAGAAATTAATATTATTTGTAAATTTTTTTTTTTTAAAAAAAAATTTGAATTTAAAAAAAAAAGCCCATGGATCGGTCCGCGATACCCACCAATCCGTATGGGGCGGGCTTTGGTTGCATGAACATTAACCTGCGAATTTGGTAGGCTGACTCGCAAAAGCTCGCAAAAAATTACGTCCGAAAATTTTTGCATTTGCATCTCTTGGAAAATGGCTTCTCCAAAAAAAAAAAAAAAAAAGGAAAAGTCATTTTCCCCCGAAACATACATATTTTAATTTCCTTTGACTAATGAATCATTTTTCATTAACCTCGTTTTTCTACCTCTTACCAAATACTGAAAATTTGAAAAACATTTTTCAAAAGTCATTTTCCGGGTTTCCAAATACACCCTTAAAGGAATAGGTCATTAATATTATGACCCTATGAGGCTATGAGTTGTAGACCTTCTATACTCCTGCTTCTGCATTATTTCTGCCTTGTATATATGTATTCTATGTACATTTATGCATATACTATACAGAAGAATATATTTTCTTGTTAGTTTCCTAGTGTTCATCAACAAACAACATATTATTTAAAGGAGTTTGTCACACACCTGCTATACAAGTATTTCTTAAAACAAAGGCCGTCCATTAATTCATCAATAACGTAACATACCTAGTGTATATATATATATATATATATATATATATATATATATATACTAGTAGCTTAAATTACCTCATTGTGATCCTTTATCCGCTAGGATCACAAAGAAAACTTCTTCTAGAGTACACTTTTCAATAATGATTATAGACTTCCTCGTAAATGAAAGAAATTATTTTAATTATATAAATACACGTACGTAGAGAGAGAGATATAGATGCAGGTATAGCATAGTGCATATATATAGTTAAAGGAGGAGAGGGGGGAAAATGTGCATATTGTTGAGGATCTGCTCAAAGCTATCAGCGGGCTTGTGGAGAGGGTGCATGTGCATTCCTTCGTAGGTGGTCACCACTATGGTCTCGTCTCTGTTTAGGCGCTGCACTTGCTTCTTCACCTTGCATCCCTCATGAGTACACTTATAGTAGCTTCTGATGATTAATTACAAACAAAAATCACCATTAATTGTCCATTTATTTTGCATACAATAGAGTACGTTATGCATTGTTGCCACACAGTACGTACACAGAATGAGAAATTGTACGTTTAATTGATAATGATAACATTTAACTGCTAGGTGGTATTTGTAAGTGGGGGCATTTAATACTCAGCTCCCCTATAGATGTTTGTCATGCTTGCAGTGGAATTCTTCGTCCCAGGACTCAATCATTAATCATTATTGTGTGACCATATTTTGTATACTATAAAATAATATACATTTAGTACACAAATAATATACTTTTAATATATTAAAATGTACTTTGTTTTTAAGAAAAGTACATTATTTGAATACTAAAAATACATTATTTTATATTAATGTACATTAAGTACAAAAATAATGTATTTTTTTGTACATTAAAAATGAACTTTCTTTTACGGTTCATACAACACTATGTGGACCATGATCCACACAATAATTTGTCCCCAAGAATGTTAAGGCCGAATCAACAAAATTGTACTAAAGAACAAATCATGGTAACTTAACGGCCCATTACGAGAATTAATTAGTATCCTCACAAGCGGGTGATATTCTCAAACTATGATTGTCAAGGTTCAAATTTAGGTCTTTATTACCCATAATTTGTCATCTAGAAACCAACCGAGCTACTTATGTGACTCTAGTAGTCCTTCTTCTTTTTTTTTTTTTTTTTTTTTTTTTTTTTTTTTTGTGATTAAAATAAAAAAAGTCACAATCATATATGAGAATGTGCAATGGGTACGTAAAGCCTGTTCTTGCTTATCGGGCAAATTATGGTCCACACAGTGTTGTGTGGACAATAACAAAAAGTATATTTTTAATATACTAAATGAACATTATCTGTGTACTGAATGTATATTATATAATATAATGTACACTTAATACACAACTAATATACATTTCCGGAATACAATGTGCATTTCTAATATACTAAAAATATATTATTTTTGAACTAAATATACATTATTTTACACTATACAAAATATGATCTACACAATTTGTGTGGACCATAATGTTTGTGTTTATCGCAGCCATGTTTAGCACGTTTATATATCAGTTTGTTTAACATTTGAGATAACCTAATTCAACTCCAAATAGCCGTCAAAAGCTAAGGTCGAGACATGAAATGATTGAAAATTATACCATGGATTAAGACGCATTGTGGACTGTTATTAATAAATTATGTGTCTATAAATAAATGGAAGGCACATACGTATAATATGTTAACATAATCTACTTGTCATTTAGGTGGATCTTAGTCCATATGGTACAACAATTGAGGAATGACCAATGGCCATCAATTATTATACCATGGACCAAGATCCGTCTTACAATTTGACCATCAATATAAGATACATTTTTAATATACTCAAGATTTATTCTTTAAATACAATTAATGTTAATTTTTTGAAGGTATATTATTTGTGTACTAAATGTTCATTATTTGATATATTATCAAATAATTAACTTTCAGTACCCAGATAATATACCTTCAGTATATTAAAAGTTAACATTTATTTATAGTTTATATTGCATTGTGAATCATATAATCTAGAGTATAATTTGCCAATGATCATGGCCTGGGCTGCTCGGGAGGAGGTTAAACAGCCTAACCAGCTGAATTTGGCAAAATTTACTATGTACCATAGTCCAAAACAGTGTTTAAAAGAAACGACTCCCATTCCGTCCAACTAATTCTATTTGAATGACGTATTATATTCATTTTCATTTTATAAATACTGTAGTTTCATTACAACACAATTAAAGTATCATATTGATTCAACTACAGTTTCATTTGACATTATACACTTAATATGTGAGACCTGTAATTAAATTTATTTTATACACATGTCGTTTTATCACAAAATCACTAAAGTATAATTCTAATTTAACTAAGGTTTAATTGGACATTATACAGTCAAATGTATAAAACATGTTATTCGATCAATTTCATTTTATATGCACGATAATTTCATTATAGCACAACTAAAGTATCATTTTGATATAATTATAATTGCATTTGACGATATATATTCAATATGTAAGACTTATTATTCAATTTTATATTTTATATACATAATAATCTAGTTTCATTATAGCACAACAAGAGTATCATTTTCTATCGCCGAGAAACATTGTCGTTACAAAATTTCTGGATCGACCAAAACAATTTTAGTGGTTGCTCGTAATTTATAGTCAGAGGTGATCAGAAAAAAAAATAATAAAAAAATTCAACGATTGTAGCCTTGTAGGTCACAAAAATTTCTGACCATGTGGCAAAGTTGCTTCTGCGGCTAAGTAGTTCTAGCAGAATCCAAATAGAATTGTGGAGTTCCCTCATTCAATTCTTCATTCCATAAACGTGTAAAATTATACTATAGAAATCCATAAACGAGTTTTATTAATAAATATAATTTATGAATATATTAAAAATAAGATTCGGAGATGAACCGACCCGAAAAGAAGAACAAGAGCGATGCGAATCAAACCCGCAACCGCCTCGGCTTTGACCTTGGGCGCCCAGCGTACCATGGCTGTCCTTAGCCTCAGCCTCGGTTTTAGGCGCCCAGCGAGACCAAGGCCGGCATCGGTCTCAACTGGGAGATGCGGTCAAACCATAACCACCAACCCTATTTGCATGGGGCGGTTATGGGGTCATCCTTAATATATATTCTTAGTTATTTGTTTTGCTTAGACATTACAATTTCTAATAATCTCATTACACAATTGATTAATATAATATTCTTATCTTTTCACTCATATCTTATCTTTATTATTGATTTTATTAATCGGACCAGCCGGATTAATTTATTCTATCAATAGCATTTTTATTAATTATCTGATCTGAAACTAAAAAACAAGAATTAAACAGAAACAATGGAAGCTAATTTAAGGTAAGGTAGAGGTACAAACTAACCTTGGGAATTTGTTGTTTTTGACAGCTTTTTGACCATACTTTCTCCACCGATATCCATCGTCCAGAATATCAACTTGGCTTCTTGTTTGAAACGCAAATCTGGGCATCCGTGCCTTTTTCTCCCCTTTCTTCTTACTCACCACTCCTCCACTACTTTCCTTCTGGGATAATAATGATATTTCTTCATCAACTCCGACAACCTTCGTGGCGCCGCTTCCCTTCCTGGCGTCCTCCGATGATGAAGCTGCTAACTGCGGCGTAAAACCGAGGAACAGCGCCGTTTGATTCTTCATTACTTAGTTTCTTGATTCGTACTATATATGGATTGCTCCACGGATCGAATCATGAGTACTAGAGTATATATAATAAATGAAATATGTATGACTTTTGATCATGGCATTTGAAAAAATGGGTTTTATTCTACAGAAACGTACATGGGCGGCCGCCTTGGTGGCTAAGAATTATCCATAATACTAGAAACCTGTATTTTTTTCTCCTAAAAAGTTAAACCCCAATCCCAATGCAAATTATGTTGTATAGTGCACACGGTTACAAAAACAATATGATTTTGACTAAAAATGCGCGTCCCATTTAGAAAAAAAATTAAGGTTCGATTCGCGGCAATAGCATTTTTGTGTCCATAATTTGAATTATATATCCACAATGAATGAACTAAATATCCACAGTGAATGAATAACTAAAAATCCAGAATGAATGAACTAAATATCCACAATGAATGAACTAAATATCCACAATGAATGAACAACATAATGTTGTTGAGAGGAATCGAAACTGATTTTTTTTTTTTTAAATGGGACGCGCATTTTTAATCAAAACGACGTCGTTTTGCAATCGTGTGCACCATGCATGGTGCACACGGTTGCACAACACAACTATTCCAATCCCAACGGCGGCACATTCCGATCGGACAACGCATTTAGAATGATATAAATCCTCAGTTGCTATATAGTGGACCATGTTCTACAGTACTAGGTGGACCATGATCATCAAATGAAACTGTAATAAAATTAAAATGATATTTTAGTGTTATTATAATAAAATTAGTGTGTGGAAAATGAAACTAAAAAACAGAGTAAATTCAACAACGTATATTGTCAAATGAAACTGTAGTATAATTAAACTGATACTTTAGTATTGTTATAATGAAACTAACGTGTGTGAAAAATGAAACTATATTTCAGAGTTATACAATAACATATATTGTCAAATGAACCTAGAGTGTAATTAAAGTAGTACTTTTTCTTTAATGTTACTATAATTAAACTAATGTGTGTAGAAAATGAAACTACAAAATAGAGCTCATGCAATAATGTATATTATCAAATGAAACTGTAGTAGAATTAAAAATGATACTTTGGTATTGCTATAACTAAACTAGTGTGTGGAAAATAAAACTGAAAAACAGAGTTATCAAATGAAATTGATGTGTAATTATAATGATACTTACTTCGTGGACCACAGTAAAATTTGTCATAAATAATCCTACGGTAAATCAATGGCTCAACAGACAAGGCCAAATGTCGGTGCGCACAAGGGATCTGCCCACTTTGAGGAGTAAAAAATATTTTTGGTCCTAGACTTATGGTGGCAAAGATAATTTTAGTCTATAAAAAAATTAGACAATTTATAGACACTCTTATTGTAACGAGATTTTGGTCCTTCGTCACTTATGTCGTTAGTTGACTGTCTAAATGACGCGCATTTTTGTCAATTCAACTTGTCGTTTATGGCATAGGATCAACATAATAAGTTGAATTGACAGAAACGCCCTTCATTTAGACAGTCAACAAATTGTCCTTGTCACAATAAGAGTGTCCACAAATTGTCTGATTTTTTATGAAGGACCAAAATTGTCCATGCCACTATAAGTCTAGGACCAAAAATGTCTTTTACTCCCACTTTAAGTATAATCTCCACATTGTGGCTGCTAAGATTCGAACATTGGTCTCTTCTTTCAGATATTGTCCTACTGAATCAATGAGCTAAACTTATGCGGGCTACTAGAACTTGTGTCAGAGAAAGCACAGTAGGAGAGAGAAGAGGGAAAGAAAATATGAAAGATAAAGAAAAGAAAAAAAAACAAGTGACAATTTTTATTTAAAGAAGCAAAAAGAAAGAGAGGTAGCTAGACGCGCCCGATATGGCGCTTGCATTGCACGCGCCATGCTGCGCGTGTGGGATGTGCAGAACGCGTGCCATAAGCGTTATTTTCTTCTAGCGTGGAGCCCACAAAGAACCAACACTTGTAAGGAAAAAAAAAAACTTTTCAAAAAACTCATCTTCCTATTTGTTCCAAATACCCTTTATGATTTTTTTTTCTCTACAAAAAATCACCCAAAAACTCATAGTGAGGTTGCTCTTACAATTCAACACAGGATCGGGCATAGTTATATTTAATAAATTATTTTGCATGAGTCAATAGTACTCAAAATAAAATATTTTCTATTGCATTTCTTTTTATCAAAATAATGTTCACTTTTGAAACAATCTACTAATTTTATAATTTTTTTTTTTTTAGATCACAGGGAAGGGGAACACCCAAAATTACATGGTTGCAGTGTCCATTTGGCGCAAAAAGGGAATGCCGAGTTTTTCGTCTTCTAAGGTTTGCAACAACTCGTCAGGGGGCCAATCTATGAAGATAAAACCGTTCTGCCCTGTTCGCTTTTTTAGCAAGGTGATCTGCTGCATGGTTAACATCTCTTGGGACAAGGGTGAGGTACTAAGACCTAATGTTGCTTAATTCACGTCTGCATGCATCCAAGATATTGTCCGAGATGCTATCCAACCTTGCTCCTTGAGAGATTTCGTCTGTGATTGCTTTAGAATTGCATTCAAAACAGATGTTGTTACCCACCATAGTCTTTGCGAACTGGATTCCTTTTAGGAGCGCCCAAGCTTTCGCCATTTCTGCTGAGCATGTGCCCACTGCATAGGAGAAACCTTTAAGCTACTCTCCCTGCTCATTGCGGGCAACTCAACCACAACTTTCCTTTTTGGATACGGGTCGTAACTGCTGTTGACATTCACTTTAATCCAACCTACTAGGGGTTTACTCCATCAGATCAGGTTCCAGCTCCTGTTGCCTGTTCAAAGACCAGCCTCTCTTACCCGTTCATTTGCTTTATTAATCTCAGTCAGCTGTAGATGGATCCAGTAGTATTTCTGACCATCCCCAATATGGTTGTTGTTGAAAATTCTTTTGTTCCGCCATTTGAAAGCCACCAAAGTGTTAGTGCAAACAGAATACTATTGGTATGCTGTTGGTGCCCTGTGAATCCTCTAATCCCTACGTCGAACCAGTCCGTGTAGTGTTAGACTAAATATATCACAAGCATATAATATGTGATACATGACCGACTAACCTCCAACCATAGTTCTTGAGACGGTTGAACGATCCGGACTGCTGCAGAGATAACAAGAGTATTTTGTCTCTCACTTTACTCAGCTCTCTCTAGATGGTGTATGAGGTATGTAATGTGAGCAGTGAGAGGACTAGTGACCTTATATAACCACTGACCATCATTGTGGTTGTATGTCTTTAGGTCTCCTAAACCCTAACTAGATTCGTAATCATAATGGTAGTCTAGCTATTAGGTTATTAGTGTTGCCCCACATATCAAATACTTAATATTATCATAACTTATCCTAATGTTATAATAATAGTAACGGATAAAACGTTATATGTAGTACTTATGACGGTTGTTGTGGATCATATTTAGCATCAGTAAATCCCAAACTCGTCTGACTTTCGGGCACCATCGTATGATATGATCTGAGGATTCCACTTCATTATTGCACACCCCACATAGATTGCTAGCCGTAAAGCCTCTCTTTTCTCTATTCGCATTGGTCATCAACCCATCTAATCTTGCAAGCCAAAGGAACATGTGAATGCGGCTGGGAACTTTCAGTTTCCATATGTTGCTCCATGTCCTTAAGCTAGGTGGATTAGCGATGTTGGTGATGAGGGAGTACGCTGATGCTACTGTGAACTTGCCATCTTCCCATCCTAATACATCTTCTTGATCTTCAATAAGAGCCACTGTAGTAAGTTGATCCTTAATATCTAATGGTACGAGGCCAATTGGAGAAGACCAACTCCACCTGGTTTGCAGGTTCCAGTAATCTGCGACTCTAGAGTATAACTCTGGTAGGGGCAGGTTTATAGAGATGTAATCTTTGAGCGGTCGATGGCCTAACCATGAGTCGAGCCAAAATAGGGTTTTTCTACCATTCCTCACCAACTTCCTGGTACCTTTTTTGAGTAGGGGAATTGACTTGATAATCCCTTTCCATGCATTCGAGGAAGAAGATCTGTCTAGCCATGTCGCAGGGTCTGGACTATGGACTGCATACTTTGCTCTCATCATATTAATCCACAGACTATTCTCCTCCGATTGTATTCTCCAGCTGAGCATAACCAATAGCGCAATATTCATGGCTTCTAAGTTCTTGATCCCTAAGCCTCCTTGATCCTTGTTTTTAGTAATCGTATTCCAAGTAACAAGATTACATTTTCTTTCAGAGCCAGTGCCTCCCCAGAGGAAATTCTGAATAATCTTTTCTATGGCTTTTATCACCCCACTTGGAAAGAGTGTGGACTGCATCGTGTATAAGGGAATAGCTGACAAAACTGATTGAGCTAATACTCTTCTACCTGCAAAGGATAGAGTTTTACCACGCCATCCAGAGAGCTTGTTTTGAACCTTGTTGATGAGCCCTTCAAAAGTTCCTTTCTTGAGTCTACCATGTAATGAGGGGACGCCAAGGTATATGCCCAGGTTTTCGGTTTTAGGTATTCCGAGAATATCACTGATTGCCTGTTGCTCACTTATATTCGTATTTTTAGAGAAGTGAAGGGTGGATTTCTGTCAGTTCACCCTCTGCCCTGACTGGTTGCAGAATTCAGTTAAGCACTGCTTTATAATATTGGCTTGATTCGTCGATGCTTCACTAAATAAGACTATATCATCCGCAAATAAGAGGTGCAATGTGTATGGACCATTTCTAGACAACCTTATACCTTTCCATTCACCTGACACCACCTTATTGTTGATTAGATGGCTAAAATGCTCGATGCATAGGAAAAAGAGCAACAGACAAATTGGATTGCCTTGGCGAATGCCCCTATATGGTCTAAACCATTCTGATTGTTTTCCATTCAAGG